GAGGCTGGAATCGTGTTGTTCGGTGTCTGGTGAACTCTCAGGGTGTGCTTCCGCTGGCTGTGTGCCTATTGAAGGCTGTCCACAGACTCTGCGGGGAGAAAGTAACTTCTCTTGCTCTTCTTGCTTGAATGCGTGCAGTTTGCTTGGATTACTGGAGAAATCTAGTGAGGGGAGGGGCTGCGTGGAGAGGTGAGGCTGAGGGTGGGGGTTGGGTAGTGTCGATGGGGTGTGCTCACTGCCCCCTGCTCTGGCAGATAGCCCTGCACGGGAACATCCTTGTCCTCCTCCTGGCTGGGACCCTGGCTTCCCCAGGGAAAGGGCAGCAGCAGTTCTGTTCTGGAACATTCCATCCAGGCTGACCGTGGGGCAGGAGGGCGGTGAGCGGGCAGGCTGCCTGCTGGAATGTCAGCGCCCAGGCCCGCTGATTAGTGAGGCCCCAGAAAACCTTCCTTCAGCTGCTTTGGTGCCTGACCCAATTAATGGGGTGCCAGGGAGGATGGGCCTGCCCCCCACCCTCCCTTCCTTGCACCAAAGTGAACCTTGCTATGGACAGGGGACTCCAGGAACTGGCTAGGCGGGCCCACTCTTCCCCAGCCCTCCATTTATAGACGCTGGACCTGGGGGTGAGCCCAGGCTATTCAGAGAGCGCCAACTGCTGGCTTTAGGCAGGAAGGTGGGGAGGGTGGGCTGGCTGTCATTTCGGCATGGAGAGGGTTAGCTGCCCTGAGGTCAGCGCCCTGCTCGTGGCCACCCTGTATACAACGGAATGGAAGGCTGCCCGGTCCAGGACTAGTCCCATGATCCTTTGCAGATCAGACCCTTGTCCGGCATGGGGTTTCACTGGCTCCTTTTCAGATGCCAGGACTTTGTTCCTGCTCTCCCTTCTCAGAGGGAAAATGAGAACAAAATTTCCCTGCCATCAGGTCCGTGCTGACCCATAGCAACCCTGGGGGGGACAGGCCGTGCTGCCCCCCAGGGTCCCCCAAGACTCCAGCTCAGTGGTGCTCAACCTTCCTCATGCTGCAACCCTGTAAAACAGTTCCTCATGTTGTGGTGACCCCCCAACCATAAAATTATGTTCGTTGCTACTTCATAACTCATTTTGCTACTGTTAAAAATCGGGCGACCCCTGTGAAAGTGTCGCTCGACCCCCAAAGGGGTCATGACCCACAGGTTGAGAACCGCTGCTCCAGCTCTTTCTGTGGGTGTAGCAAGCGTCATCCGTGAGCAGCTGGTGGTTTTGAACTGCCGACTTTGTGATGAGCATCCCAACCC